GTCATTTTCGTATTGTCTTTCTGCCTCTCTTCTCTTGTGTGTGTGTGTGTGTGTGTGTGTGTGTGTGTGTGTGTGTGTGTGTGTGTGTGTGTGTGTGTGTGTGTGTGTGTGTGTGTGTGTGTGTGTGTGTGTGTGTGTGTGTGTGTGTGTGTGTGTGTGTGTGTGTGTGTGTGTGTGTGTGTGTGTGTGTGTGTGTGTGTGTGTGTATGTGTGTGTATTCACCTAGTTGTATTCACCTAGTTGCATTTGCGGGGGTTGAGCTTTGCTCTTTCGGCCCGCCTCTCAACTGTCAATCAACTGTTTACTAACTACTTATTTATCCCCAACCACACACACACACTTCAGGAAGCAGCCCGTGACAGCTGATTAACTCCTAGGTACCTATTTACTGCTAGGTAACAGGGGCATTCAGGGTGAAAGAAACTTTGCCCATATGTTTCTGCTTGGTGCGGGAATCGAACCTGCGCCACAGAATTACGAGTCCTGCGCCCTCTCCACCAGGATACCAGGAACCGTGTGTGTGTGTGTGTGTGTGTGTGTGTGTGTGTGTGTGTGTGTGTGTGTGTGTGTGTGTACTCACCTAGTTGTACTCACCTAGTTGTGTTTGCGGGGGTTGAGCTCTGGCTCTTTGGTCCCGCCTCTCAACCGTCAATCAACAGGTGTACAGATTCCTGAGCCTATCGGGCTCTGTCATATCTACACTTGAAACTGTGTATGGAGTCAGCCTCCACCACATCACCCCCTAATGCATTCCAATTGTCAACCACTCTGACACTAAAAAAGTTCTTTCTAATATCTCTGTGGCTCATTTGGGCACTCAGTTTCCACCTGTGTCCCCTTGTGCGTGTTCCCCTTGTGTTAAATAGACTGTCTTTATCTACCCTATCAATCCCCTTCAGAATCTTGAATGTGGTGATCATGTCCCCCCTAACTCTTCTGTCTTCCAGCGAAGTGAGGTTTAATTCCCGTAGTCTCTCCTCGTAGCTCATACCTCTCAGCTCGGGTACTAGTCTGGTGGCAAACCTTTGAACCTTTTCCAGTTTAGTCTTATCCTTGACTAGATATGGACTCCATGCTGGGGCTGCATACTCCAGGATTGGCCTGTGTGTGTGTGTGTGTGTGTGTGTGTGTGTGTGTGTGTGTGTGTGTGTGTGTGTGTGTGTGTGTGTGTGTGTGTGTGTGTGTGTGTGTGTGTGTGTGTGTGTGTGTGTGTGTGTGTGTGTGTATGTGTGTACTCACCTAGTTGTGCTTGCGGGGGTTGAGCTCTAGCTCTTTGGTCACGCCTCTCAACTGTCAATCAACAGGTGTACAGGTTCCTGAGCCTATTGGGCTCTATCATATCTACACTTGAAACTATGCATGGAGTCAGCCTCCACCACATCACTTCCTAATGCATTCCATTTGTCAACCACTCTGACACTAAAAAAGTTCTTTCTAATATCTCTGTGGCTCATTTGGGTACTCAGTTTCCACCTGTGTCCCCTAGTGCGTGTGCCCCTTGTGTTAAACAGCCTGTCTTTATCAACCCTGTCAATTCCCTTAAGGATCTTGAATGTGGTGATCATGTCCCCCCTAACTCTTCTGTCTTCCAACGAAGTGAGGTTTAATTCCCGTAGTCTCTCCTCGTAGCTCATACCTCTCTGCTCGGGTACTAGACTGGTGGCAAACCTTTGAACCTTTTCCATTTTAGTCTTATGCTTGACTAGATATGGACTCCATGCTGGTGCCGCATACTCCAGGATTGGTCTGACATATGTGGTATATAATGTTCTGAAAGATTCCTTACACAAGTTTCTAAAGGCCGTTCTTATGTTAGCCAACCTGGCATATGCTGCTGCTGTTATCCTCTTGATAGGAGCATCAGGGGACAGGTCTGGCGTGATATCAACCCCCAGGTCTTTCTCTCTCTCGGACTCTTGAAGTATTTCATCTCCCAAGTGATACCTTGTATCTGGTCTCCTGCTTCCTACCCCTATCTTCATTACATTACATTTGCTTGGATTAAACTCTAACAGCCATTTGTTCGACCATTCCTGCAGCTTGTCCAGGTCTTCTTGAAACCTCAAGCTGTCCTCCTCTGTCTTAATCCTTCTCATAATTTTGGCGTCGTCAGCAAACATTGAGAGGAATGAGTCTATACCCTCTGGGAGATCATTTACGTATATCAGAAACAGGATAGGTCCAAGTACAGAGCCCTGTGGGACTCCACTGGTGACTTCACGCCAGTCTGAGGTCTCACCCCTCACTGTAACTCTCTGCTTCCTATTGTTTAGGTACTCCCTTATCCACTGGAGCACCCTACCAGTTACTCCTGCCTGTTTCTCCAGCTTATGCATCAACCTTATATGGGGTACTGTGTCAAAGGCTTTCCGACAGTCCAAAAAAATGCAGTCCGCCCACCCTTCTCTTTCTTGTTTAATCTTTGTCACCTGATCGTAGAATTCTATCAATCCTGTAAGGCAAGATTTACCCTCCCTGAACCCATGTTGATGGGTTGTCACAAAGTCTCTTCACGAAGTCTCTTCTCTCCAGATGTGTCACTAGGTTTTTTCTCACAATCTTCTCCATCACCTTGCATGGTATACAAGTTAAGGACACTGGCCTGTAGTTCAGTGCCTCTTGTCTGTCACCCTTTTTGTATATTGGTTCTACATTAGCAGTCTTCCATATTTCTGGTAAGTCTCCCGTTTCCAGTGACCTACTATACACTATGGAGAGTGGTAGGCAAAGTGCTCCTGCACACTCTTTCAATACCCATGGCGAGATTCCATCCGGCCCAACAGCTTTTCTCACATCCAGCTCCAATAGGTGCTTCTTGACCTCATCTCTTGTAATTTCGAACCTTTCCAAGGTCACCTGGTTTGCTGCTTCTAGCGCCGTGACATCTCCCTGTTCTATTGTAAAGACCTCCTGGAACCTTTTGTTGAGTTTTTCACACACCTCTTTGCCATTCTCTGTGTACCTGTCCTCGCCCACCCTAAGTTTCATCACCTGTTCCTTCACTGTTGTCTTCCTCCTGATGTGACTGTGTAGTAGCTTTGGTTCGGTCTTGGCTTTATTAGCTATATCATTTTCATACCTTTTCTCAGCTGCTCTTCTCACACTGACGTACTCGTTCCTGGTTCTCTGGTATCTCACTCTACTTTCTGGTGTTCTGTTATTACGGAAGTTCCTCCGTGCCCTTTTGTTCAGCTCCTTTGCTTTCATACATTCCTTATTAAACCACGGATTCTTCCTTTGCTTCTCTGTTTTTTCCTGTCGGGCTGGGACAAACCTGCTTACAGCCTCCTGACATTTTTGGGTGACATAGTCCATCATGTCTTGTACGGACTTGGTTCCGAGTTCTGTGTCCCAATGTATATCCCATAGGAATTTATTCATTTCCTCATAGTTTCCCTAAACTATGTGTGTGTGTGTGTGTGTACTCACCTAGTTGTACTCACCTAGTTGTGCTTGCGGGGGTTGAGCTCTGGCTCTTTGGTCCCGCCTCTCAACCGTCAATCAACAGGTGTACCGGTTCTTGAGCCTATTGGGCTCTATCATATCTACACTTGAAACTGTGTATTGAGTCAGCCTCCACCACATTGCTTCCTAATGCATTCCATTTGTCAACCACTCTGACAGTTCTTTCTAATAAAAAAAGTTCTTTCTAATATCTCTGAGGCTCATTTGGGCACTCAGTTTCCACCTGTGTCCCCAAGTGCGTGTGCCCCTTGTGTTAAATAGCCTATCTTTATCAACCCTGTCGATTGCCTTGAGAATCTTGAATGTGGTGATCATGTCCCCCCTAACTCTTCTGTCTTCCAACGAAGTGAGGTTCAATTCCCGTAGTCTCTCCTCGTAGCTCATACCTCTCAGCTCGGGTACTAGTCTGGTGGCAAACCTTTGAACCTTTTCCAGTTTAGTCTTATGCTTGACTAGATATGGACTCCATGCTGGAGCCGCATACTCCAGGATTGGTCTGACATATGTGGTATATAATGTTCTGAAAGATTCCTTACACAAGTTTCTAAAGGCCGTTCTGTGTGTGTGTGTGTTTACTAGTTGTGTTTACTAGTTGTGTTTTTGCGGGGGTTGAGCTTTGCTCTTTCGGCCCGCCTCTCAACTGTCAATCAACTGTTTACTAACTACTTTTTTTTTTTTTTTTTTTTCCCCACCCCACACACACACACACCCCAGGAAGCAGCCCGTGACAGCTGACTAACTCCCAGGTACCTATTTACTGCTAGGTAACAGGGGCACTTAGGGTGAAAGAAACGTTGCCCATTTGTTTCTGCCTCGTGCGGGAATCGAACCCGCGCCACAGAATTACGAGTCCTGCGCGCTATCCACCAGGCTACGAGGCCCTCACACCTAGTTGTGTGTGTGTGTGTGTGTGTGTGTGTGTGCGTGTGAGTGTGTGTGTGTGTGTGTGTGTGTGTGTGTGTGTGTGTGTGTGTGTGTGTGTGTGTGTGTGTGTGTGTGTGTGTGTGTGTGTGTGTGTGTGTGTGTGTGTGTGTGTGTGTGTGTGGTCTATAAACAACCAAATTTGTTTAAAGATGTATAGGCATATGGTTTATTCTTGGATGAACATAATTCCTGCTTAAATGGGACATAATTGCTGCTAAGGCAGCGCATAATATTCGTTGGTGGTAGAAGTTTTGGTATTATATGTCACATAATTTAATACACACATTCAGTACAGTTACTGGAGAATTTTAAAAGTATTTTTGATCAGAAACGAATTTTTAATGTTACAGATATATTTAAAAATTTCCATAGTTTGAAATTTTATCAAATACTTTAAAATGAGATATCAAAATGATGGCATCATTCAATTGGTTTCTAATATACCAGTATTTTAAAATTCATTTGGTTTTAAAACGTTCCATAATTAGTGAGAATTTCTGAGTATTAACATTTCAAGGCAGTCTTAAACATGTCATATACTTCAAATCAGTATTGAAAACGCAATAAATTCCAAATATTGAACATAAAGCAGTTTTATCTCTCGGGTCCAGACGAGCACACGTTGGAGGTCGACAGTATCTTGAAAGTAACATTGTCGAACACTTCACGCGAGTAGATGGATATTCTCCGTTATATATTGGACGGGAGATGATCGTCCCGTCACCCACGGCTTGGCCTCTCCCTCACGACGCTCCCTACAAGCACACCCTAGATCACTACATCATTGCCATCACAGAGGTCGGTACGAATTTAAAGCACAGTGATCGTTGCTTCCTTTGAACCCTATATATTTCCCTAATCTTCTGGTATGTAATATATCCGTATGAATATTTCATAAAAAATTACACTTACATCGTTTGAAGAAAGAATTGTTGGATCTAAATATTAATGTTTTATCAGGGTGGACTGTATGAGCAGTGGAGGAAAGAGATGGTGAGTGAAGCCGCCAGGAAGACACGCACTAAACTGAAGAAGGAACTGAATCTTCACCAGCAGGAGAAGACAGACTCGATCATGGAGGACGGTCCTGGCAGCAACAGTCTCAAGGCTCTCACACTTGTCCACATGCAAGGTCCTCTCCTGTTGCTCCTTCTGGGCCTCGCTTTTGCTGGAATTGTCTTCTCTATAGAGATGCTGACTAGAAGGTCTCGCTCGAACTGAACATAATCACTGTTCACAGTAGAAGATGATGAACATCCTTGACATCATAAACATTCTACCTGCACATAGTGTGTACAAATGTGTCTAGCATCTCATATTCTGAAATGTCACATAACGGGAGAGGAAGTTCTCATAACCCTTTTAGTTTCACGTCTACTCTCACACACTCATCTCGTAAACACACTTCAAGTATATGTGACGTACAACATATATGACTGTGCCTGCACGAAGACTCATAACCTTTATTCTGTTCTCGTGTCGAACCAATAACATCATTACCAGCCAACAGTACATTTATTTTATTAAAAATGTGTCGTTACAGTTCAAACCATTCAGAAATTGTTTTCTCGCAGGTTGGTAAATTTAATGTTTTTATTATATATCCTCAAATGTTTTCTTATTACTGTTTGATCAATTATATATTTTTATAAATATACGATATAATTAATTTATTACATTTTACTAAGTTCACCAGGGGTGCAACGCAAGGGGACTGTGCTTCAGGGCTTAGGACCAATAACCTCTCAAAGTAACTGACGAATGGAAATCGAAACTACTTGTTCTAGGGTTATAATTTTCTTTCAAAAATCTTCATTACTTCAGCCAGAAGTCAAAATATATAGAATTAATTAAGAAATGCTATTCTTTAATCGTTAACTTGGAAAGGATTATAGTTGCTTTGGGCATGTAAAGATTGTAAAGTGCAGAAACATGATTTTTTTAAGAAGAAGGTTTATTGGCCATCTGAACTAGTTCCACAACCTAGTATTTAGAAGGGTGGAATCGTCGTTCACCTATAAAATCGGCATAAAACTAAGATAACAAGCAGTTATAATAACTGTTAACATATAATAAAATGAATAAATGTGGTAAATCAAAGCGAGAGTGAATCACCTACACTTGAAAACTAACACAATAACATTTAATGAAATTTGATATATTAAATGAATATAACCTATCTTGTTTTAATATTGTGTAAGGGATAAACCCCTGAAAATACAAATTTATATGTTGGAGAAAAGAAGGAATATAATCAGGAGGTAATGTTTTGTTAACTCAAAGATTTACAGAGAATATGTGCCCATTGCATATAATATTTACAAAATATTGAGCACTAGAGTAGACACTACTGCTGGTGCGTGACTCAATGACATAAAAATAATTTGGTGACTGGAAATTGTGGGGTAGAGACCATTATATTGCTGCGAATAATACTCGTCTAACGCTGCCAATACCAGCACTTGCGTGACCAGTTAGAAACAAATATCTGGTAATTAATAAATACCTGCTCCGAAATTAAATTTAGTATGAGAATAGTACGAGAATTATACTGATTGTTTTGCTCTCTGGCTTCCATACATATGCTTCTCTGATTTCTAACCCTTTGGAACACCTTAAAACCTCCTTTAACCACAAACTAAGACAGCTTTCTAGCCATTGTTTTTCTGACATCGATCTAATAAAACGTTTCCGCGTCATTTGCTATTCCCTTGCTTATTTCGTCGGTCTACCTAAGACTCATAAACCTGGTGTTCGCCTTCATCCTATCATTTCTTCAAGAGGCGCTGTCAGTTATCATCTTGCCTCCTAGATTACCAAAACTTCCACCCCTTATCTTGGCCCTTTTTCTCCTATCCACCTCCGTCACTCTGAGAACTTCATAGAAAACTGCGCCTGCAGCCCTCAAGTAAGATGCTTAGTCTTGATGTGGATTCTCTGTTTACTAATGGTCCCTTTGATGATGTTCTCTCTTTCCTTAGTCAGAGGGCGACTGATCTCCCGCCTTTTATTGACATTTTCCTCCAATTCATCAAAGTCTGTGTACACTCCTTCTCATTCAATATATAATATACTCCTCTGAAACTTTCGGTGTCGCTATGGGTTCCCCCTCACCCTTGTTTTTGCCAATCTTTATATTGAATACTTTGAAACTGTTCTTCCCATTATTGATACTCACCTCTCGCTCTGGTTGATGACATTTTTGTTCTTTAGCCTCATGACCGTAGTCTTTTCCAGGTGGATGTGCACGTGCATGTTTTCATTCTCACTTAGACATATTTTGGAGGTTGAGTTTCAGCTTCCAAATACCATACCTCAACCTATCGATTTAATAGAGCAATACTTTAATTTCTCCGTGTACGTGATAACTTCTAGCTGCAGTTGCTAGCTGCTGCTAGCTGCAGATAACTGGAGCTGCTAGAGTTGCTTTAACACATCTCTAATCAATGGCCTCTCCTAGGAGCCTTCAAGCTGTGAGTGACTGATATACGTACTGATGTTAACAGTTAACAGTTAACAGCCTTGTTAACAGTAGTACTTTCGGTCACTAAATATGGTCATATCATTTTCGTTTTGCAAAAGGATTTTTTTGCAAAACGAAATCATATTTTTTTTCCTTTAGTGGTAAGAAGGTTTAGGGTACAGCCATATATATATGTAATGTTGTGTCATTTGTTATTTAAATGTATTGCATATCTGCTGTAGTTTTATATAAAACTTGATGAGTTTGCAAACAAATGTTTTATTTAACTTTTTAGGATAATTTACACTATTCGTTCAGTTAGGTTAGGTTTCAATTATGTAAGGTTAAATGTGGTTTGATTTCATAATATATATAGTTAAGTTCGGTTTGATTAGGTTACGGTTGGTTACGTTTAATTTGTTTAGTCTTGAATGTTTAAGTGAATTTGATACGTTTTGAGGAAGTTTAGGCATGGCAAGGTTGAGTAAGGAGAGTTTCGTTCAGGTTATAATGATATAGGCATGAATAAATATAATTTACTTTGGTTCAAGCAAGTTTGGTTACCAGGGATTTAGTTACATTGTTAGTAACAATTGATAAAGTTAAGAATAAACACGATCAAATTAATTTAAAACAATATGACAGTGACGGCTGCCATAGTTATATATTTACCTTCCCATTTTCCTAATTTGTCAATATACCACGATGGTGGACCCACCACTTGACAGTCAGTTGACCGTTGTTGCTGCTGGTGGACACAACACTTGACAGTCAGTTGACCGTTGTTACTGCTGGTGGACCCACCACTTGACAGTCAGTTGACTGTTGTTACTGCTGGTGGACCCACCACTTGACAGTCAGTTGACCGTTGTTACTGCTGGTGGACCCACCACTTGACAGTCAGTTGACCGTTGTTACTGCTGGTGGACCCACCACTTGACAGTCAGTTGACAGCTGTTGCTGCTGGTGGACACAACACTTGGCACTCAGTTGACAGCTGCTGCTGGTGGACACAACACTTGGTACTCAGTTGACAGCTGCTGCTGGTGGACCCACCACTTGACAGTCAGTTGACTGTTGTTGCTGCTGGTGGACCCACCACTTGACAGTCAGTTGACCGTTGTTGCTGCTGGTGGACCCACCACTCGACAGTCAGTTGACCGTTGTTGCTGCTGGTGGACCCACCACTTGACAGTCAGTTGACTGTTGTTGCTGCTGGTGGACCCACCACTTGACAGTCAGTTGACCGTTGTTGCTGCTGGTGGACCCACCACTTGACAGTCAGTTGACTGTTGTTGTTGCTGGTGGACCCACCACTTGACAGTCAGTTGACCGTTGTTGCTGCTGGTGGACCCACCACTTGACAGTCAGTTGACTGTTGTTACTGCTGGTGGACCCACCACTTGACAGTCAGTTGACAGCTGTTGCTGCTGGTGGACACAACACTTGACACTCAGTTGACAGCTGTTGCTGCTGGTGGACACAACACTTGACACTCAGTTGACAGCTGTTGCTGCTGGTGGACACAACACTTGACACTCAGTTGACAGCTGTTGCTGCTGGTGGACACAACACTTGACACTCAGTTGACAGCTGTTGCTGGTGTTGGGGAGCTACAAGTTTCTTTGTGGAGCCGGTCAGATTTTTTAGCAAGAGGATAAGAGAAGGATGGCTAAAAATGTCCAGACTCTACCACCAACTCGGTCAAATGCTGGAGAGGACGCAAACACAGTGGCCTCCCTACCAGAGCCTCAGATATTAACACCAAGTAAAGCATCCAGCACTTCCACAAACATAACATCATTTTTATTTGCCAACATTCAGGGTATAAAAACACGCAAATGTAACAAAATGCACTACATAGATGTCCTCTTACGTGAGGCTAATGCAGTGTTTGCAGCCCTGCCGGAAACTCACACAAAGGACTACCATGATGGTGAAATATGGATCTCAGAGTACAATCTTTTCAGATGTGACAGGAAACGCAGGCTACAGGGTGGGGTCAGCCTATGCATCAAGGACACACTCATCTGTACTGATCTGCTAAACACCACAAATGATATGGTGGAAGTGATGATAATCAAAATAGAGATCTTAAATGTAGTTATTGTCCTTGTATATAAGTCACCGGAGGCAAATCATCAGCAGTTTAAAGACCAACTAATGAAAATAGAGCACTGCTTGGAAAATCTCACAAATCCAGCCCCAAACATCATCCTGCTTGGGGACTTAAACCTACGGCACCTGAAATGTAAGACCATAGCAGATACAGTTGTATCAGGGCCAATTCCGGGAAGTAGCCTAAAAGAACAGGCACATGCAAATGACCTGCTATGGATGTGCGACAGGTTTGTCTTAAACCAGCAAATAGTAGAACCAACTAGGAAGAACACTGTTAACCTCATTTTCACTAATAAAGATGAATTGATCAGGAACTTAATAATTACAAATACCTGTTACTCAGATCACAACTTAATTGAAGTTCTGACAAGCATGGGGAATAAACCTTTAAAACCAATCCCGATTCCCGGTGGAAGAGATTTCAGCAAATTCAACTTCAATAATAAACAGATAAACTGGGAGCAAATAAAAAAAGACTTCACAGAAATAAGCTGGGAAGAACAGCTAGAAACTGCAAACCTGAACCAGTGCTTGGAAAAAATAAGCTCAGTAGCACTAGAAATATGTTCAAACCGCATAACCCTAAGAAAAAAGAAGAGATGCAGATTGGAACGGGAACGTCGTTCCCTCTACAGGC